CTTGATAGTTTATTTGGTTTGGTTTCAGAGCATTTGAAGGAGTTTGTTCCAGACTTTTTGGGGCTTTGGAATCTTTGCGAGAGCTGGTTTCAGACTATGATGATTTCCCGAAGAGGGATACTTTAGTTCAACTGTCATTTGCTTCTCTTCAGACCATTAACTCTGTATGGTTTAACTCAAGATCTGTTGGCCTGAAGTGCGCTATTGTTCTATGTCTTATATTCCCATTCAATGATTATAATCTCTTATCACTTTCAGGTGTTTTGCTCGATGAACAATATTTCCAAGGAGGTTAATAAGGAGACTATGTCAAGGTTACTTTTAATGGTGTTTTAATTGTACTAACCTTTGATGAAACATTCCGTGGTTGTTTGATTGCTCACATTATTTCTGTTTTTTCTTGTGCAGATTGTTATCCCTTGTAAATGACCATTTTTCCCGGTATCTCTCATCCAACCAAATCAACGAGGTGTGTTCCTTTGGCTCACCTGTTGAAATAGCAGAAGTCATAATCTGTCCCACTATTCAAAAACCTCAGGAAGCATGCCTTAGCGTTTTATCATAAGTATCTGTCTTGGTTTTGCAGATACAGGCCATTATTCAGAATTTAAACCGTTCTGCTATTGCACTTTCTGCTGGAACCAGCAGTGAGGAGAATGTTAACCGAATGACTCAGACAAGTAATGGTGATTCGGTTCTTGCCAAAAAGCTGTCTTTAGAAGGTACACATCGAGGAGCCTTCTATGTAAGGAGTAGGTTGCCTCTGCTAGACCTTCATAAGGATCATGATGCGGACAGCCTTCCGTCACCAACAAGGGAAACAACTCCAAATTTACCCGTAAATGGTCGACATACAATGGTTAAACCATGTTTTCCAATTGGTAAAGAGGGCCAAGCGACTGAAGGTGCCAAAGTCTATCCATATGAGAGTGAGGCCTTCAAAGCAGTTTCTACCTACCAGAAAAAATTTGGTATTAACTCAACATTTAAGACAGATGACCTTCCAAGCCCAACACCATCAGGAGAACAAAATGATGGCAATGGGGACACTGGTGGAGAGGTTTCCAGTTCTGTCGTTACAAGCTCGAAGCCGGGAACTCTCCTGATTTATGGGCAAGACGTTCCTTTGCCCTCTAACTATAGTTCTAGAAGCGGACCTGTTGGAATTCCTGTTTCTAGCGCTCTTCCACCACATCATATGTCATTAAATGGCAATTCTGCACCAACTTGTGCTACTCACCCAAATCTTGCGTCTGATCAGACATTAAAACCTTCTGGAAAGAGTAGAGATCCAAGACTACGGCTTGCGAAACCTGATTGTGACATTGCAAATCCGTACTCTTCCGATGATGCTAAAAATCTTTGTAAAGAAGAGCCTTCTGCAGACTTGGTGAACGCAAGAAAGCAAAAAGCTGCTGACGAACTTCTTATTGATGGACCTGCATGGAAAAGGCAAAAGAGTGATAAGGATGCACCAAAGGCAGCTGGAATTGGTGGCTGGCTAGAGGATACAGATTCACCGGGGCTTCAAATGTCAGAATTCAAGCCCAAACTAACTGATAATGGTGTAACATCTATGACAACAAGTGTAATGCCCACGAGTAATGTTTCTGTGAGCCAAAAAGTACCGATGACAGATTCAACTGATGCTGGAACAGTATCTTTGCTTTTGAAGGATATTGCAGTAAATCCTACACTGCTACTGAATTTCCTTAATAAAATGGGAGAAAGGCAAAAGGTATCTGAAAAAGCTCCTCAGAAGCCCATGGATCCGAGAAGAGCAGCACAACTTCCTGGCTCTTCCGTGCCACCAGGGGTAGCTTTACCGCTTAGTATACCTGCATCAAGTGCTTTGACTGCTAATATTTCAAAGTCAGGAGTGCTTCAGGATTCTTCCCAATATGCCCCCTCAGTGAGTATCCTTCATTTTGACTGGGTAGAATCTTTTCTTCCAATTTTTTCTCCAAGTAACTCATTTTGGAATTTTCAGGACGAATCTGGAAGCATCCGCATGAAACCACGTGATCCTCGCCGAATCCTGCATGGAAGTACTCTTCAGAGAACGGATTCTTCAATAGAAAAGCAGTCCAAATTGAATGACTCCCCCACTTTGGGAACCCTGGCTATGAAACGTAAGTCAGAAGAGTTAGAAACGCCCTCCCAAGTTGCTCCATGGCAAAATATCAGCCAGAATGGTACCAGCAAAATGAAAATTTCCGGTGAACTTCTCAGCGGAAAGACACTAGATATTTCAACACAGTTCACCAAAAATCTGAAAAATATTGCTGATATGGTTGTCTTATCACAACAAGTTTGCAATCCCCCAGCAACTTCTCATTCAAAAGAACTTAAGACAGACAAAGACTCTAAACATAATCCTTCAAACCTAAACGACCAGGAGGAGGGTGTGTCAATTTGTGCAGCTGGTCCCACTCGTTCCACGAATTGTTGGGGAGATGTGGAACACTTATTYGAAGGATATGATGACACGCAGAGAGTTGCTATCCAAAAAGAGAGAGCTCGGAGGTTAGAGGAACAGAAGAAAATGTTTGCATCTCAGAAGCTCTCTCTTGTTTTGGATTTAGACCACACTCTTCTCAATTCAGCTAAGGTTAGTTTATCTCCCTTCTATTTGCTTATTTTTCGAATATTGTTTCTAAAGCTTTTCTTTTTACTGTTTCCAGTTTCATGAGGTCGAATCCGCCCACGACTTGATATTGAGAAAGAAGGAAGAACAAGATCGTGAGAAACCATATAGACATCTGTTTCGCTTCTCCCACATGGGAATGTGGACTAAATTGAGACCAGGGATTTGGAATTTTTTGGAGAAGGTGACTCAGTTAGTAATATTTTCTTGCTGTTCGACTATGTGTGTAAGACTCCAGTGTAACTTTTCCTGTGAATTTCAGGCTAGCAAGCTGTACGAGTTACATCTTTACACTATGGGCAACAAATTGTATGCTACAGAGATGGCCAAACTGCTTGATCCCAAAGGGGTTCTCTTTAGTGGACGAGTCATATCAAAAGGAGATGATGGAGATCCTCTTGATGGAGATGAACGAGTACCCAAGAGCAAAGATTTAGAAGGAGTTATGGGTATGGAATCGTCTGTGGTAATCATCGACGATTCTGTCCGAGTGTGGCCTCGTAACAAAATGAACTTAATAGTTGTTGAAAGGTATCACCTTTTGCTATACGGCTAAAATGAGACCGTATTGATTGCTTACTGTATAATAGTTGTTTGCTGATGTTAATTCTCTTGTCTGGCAGATATACTTATTTCCCTTGCAGTAGACGTCAATTTGGGCTTCTTGGTCCTTCTCTTCTTGAGGTAGATCACGATGAGGTTCCTGAGGAGGGCACATTGGCATCTACATTAGCGGTCTGGACTTTGTTTATGCACCTTGTTATGTTATTTTCTACTCTTCGTTTTGAATCTCAGCATCATCACATGGCTTTCATTGTACAGGTTATTGAGAGAATACAGAAAAATTTCTTCTCGCACACTTCACTAGAGGAAGCGGATGTGAGGGCTATTTTAGCTTCTGAGCAACGAAAGATTCTGGCTGGTTGTCGGATTGTATTTAGCCGGATAATCCCAGTGGGTGAAGCCAAACCACATTTGCACCCCTTGTGGCAAACCGCTGAGCAGTTTGGTGCTGTCTGCACAACTCAGGTGGATGAACATGTCACTCATGTTGTCACCAATTCTCTTGGAACTGACAAGGTAAGAAGTCGGGAATTTTTTTTAACTTCTGGGCCAAAGCAGAGACATCATTGGGAGATTCTGAATGTGTTTGTTTAAGCAGGTAAATTGGGCGCTAGCCAATGGTAGATTTGTTGTTCATCATGGCTGGTAAGACCCTCTTGGTCCCCTTTAATGATAAGAAAAAAAAAAACGGGTCTTCTCCAGTTTGTAATAGTTTTCGTTGTCCGAGTGCAGGGTGGAAGCATCAGCTTTTCTGTATAGGAGAGCAAACGAGAACGATTTTCCCATCAAACCATAAACCAAATTCAATTCCCACCCTCTAAATATCCCCACCATATGGTGGAATTTGAGACTTGATAAGGCCTGAAAACCCAGTAGGCCAAATCGGGTTGATTATGCTAGGCCCGCGGGGGTTGTCGGGTTGGGGGTACATAGGCATTCTTTCGCCCCGAAAAGAGGCCATTCATCACAGATACCAAAAGTATTGGGGCTTTTTAACAAAACGAACTCCATTCTGTGTCATAAGATCTACTAACTTGGGGGAGGGTGAAGGAAAGTGGTCCGTCTCTGGATGTGAAATAAACATTGGAGAGACCATGTAGATAGTAATGGGACAACAGGGTCATGCGTCAACGAGAGGATCATGTTCGATTTTGGCCCTCTGCTCCTGATTCATGACGAGTCGGATTGGTCCTATAAATGTATGTTGTGGTATATATGTCTCTTGTTGGAAGCAATGCGACCAAGGCAAAAGTCAACAAAGACAACAGATACGCAGTCGAATGGCTGACCAAAGCTTTGATTGAAATGTTCATGCCTTACTAATAATCCCCAGAGTGTGGCGGAGAAAATATTCGTTGATGAAGAACTAAGAGAGATCAACACGTTAAATTGATACTTGACCAATGAGGAACTGATTCTTGTGATGAGTATTTAGGAGAACACTAAACACATAAATTCTTAGTAAATTAATATAGTAACAAATTTAAAAGAAGTTAGCATAACAAGAGTTTGAGGTCTATATTCAAAATATTAAATTATAAATCCCTTTTTCCAGGGCAATAGCACAAGTAAAGATCACTGCAAGAAACAAAAACAATGACTGATTGCTTGAAGTTATCAAGATGCTAGATTCTCTACCTGATTGATTATCTTTCTTTTTCGGAATTAGATTGATTTCCTAGGTTACGTGTTTATTTGGTTAATTTTATGTTCGTTATTACTTTTAGAAGTAATAATGTCTCTATATCTGTTTGCTAAAGTGAATAGGAGAGAGAAGGGAAAATGAACAGAAAAAGTAAATGTAAAAAACTAGCCATAATCTTCCCTCCTCTAATAGGTAGTGGGAAAATAAAACACAAATTCCATCTATATTACTCTAATTTATTTTCATCTCAATTTACACTAAATGACATTTATTTAGATGAATAGAAAGTAATGCAAATTATATTACTCTAATTATTTAGTTATAAAATAAAATTTGTTTTCTCCCATGTAAGCATTTCGTTGAAATGACTTCCTCACGCGGCTAGTCTAATCGCACCGATATGATAAAATGTGGTGCTTTCAACGCCAAAATAAACTAGAAAGTATATTGTGAAAAAAGTTGTTGTAGTAAAAGGTATGAAAATGGGGTGAAAACTAACACAAGAAGTGGCTCTTTGATTTAAAAACCCTCAACCGCCACAATCATAGGCGGAACAAGAGAGGATTTACAACAGATGGTGAAGAGGGGCCAAGAGGAAGCCAAGCTTTGGCTAGAAGTGAATGAGACCTCGGCTACAAATCATGATACCAATATATGGGTATCGACAATATGCTTCTTATAGGAGATGGAGAAGTCCATGAGAAAGGATCCTAAGGTGCGGATGTTAAAGTGTGGTTTAAGCTCAGGTTAACACAAGGAAGAAGAGAGTCAACATATCAAAGACTCTTGCGGACTCAGAGGTTTTTATCATTCTAATTGGCTCGGTATTTGTGTTCAATTAGATGGTTTAATTTTTCTGGTTAAATCCGGTTATGTATCTCCTTATAAGGAGAGAAAAACGTGTTGTTAGACTGTAACAAACACAACAAACATCATCTTCTTCCTC